ACACTGGTGTACTTTCCCCTATGAAAATCCTTTTCTGCCTCTGAATCTTTGCTCATGTCCATTTACCTGCTCTTATATGGCCCCAACTATGTTCATCTTTTTGATTCATTATAATCCAGACCCAAATCTAGATCTTTTCAGAGAGAATTCACTAATCAACCCTATCAGCGGCCCAAAATGCAATGGCTTTGAATGTTTGTAAAACCTTGTCTCTTCTACTCCTAAGGTCTTCTCTGCAGAAGGTTGCACTGGACCTGCCCTCCACAAACAACACTTAGGACATCCCAGGCATTCTTTAAATTCTGAGAATATGAATAGCATTTTATTCCTATGTGTGTATATTCAAGTGTGTAAGATGGGAAAAAGAAGTAACAAATTCACACAATAATTTCAGAGAGTTAAGAAAACAAAGCAAGGTGATTGGTAAATGGCTGAGGAAGAGAGAGGTAACATTAGATAAGATGTGAGTGAAGCACTTTTTGATGAGAAAGAATTTGAGTTGAAATTTGTATGATAGAAGGTGCCGGTCATACAAGCATCAGGGGAAAGAGCATTCCAGACAGAAGGAATAGCACATGTAAAGGCCCTGAGGCAGGAAGGAGCTTGACATGTGAATGATCACCGGCTTCTTCCAGGGCAAAATATATATATTTTTTAATGTCTGTATGTCCTCTATAGCATCTAGCACACAGCAAGGCAATCAGCTGCTAAACTGTAAGTGCTACGACAGGTGATTCCATGCCTGCCTACCTTTCTGTAACTGGCACAGTGATTGGTACATACTAGGTACTACTATTAATGAATGAGAAAATGAGTTTTCCTTGAGTGACTGATTACCATATCTCTGGTCTGACAGCACTTTTGTAGCCAGAATGAACAAGGGAACTCCATCTCCTCAATGTGAGTCTATCTCCTTTCAGATACCTGGCATCTGTGATTTAATGCCATTCATTCAAGGCAGTAGGAACAGGACACTTCCTTTCTGGAGGAACATTGTTCAGATAAGTGCAATATCATAGAGAAAACTGGGGGAACTTTTAGAAGCTGTTCAATAAACTGGGGGCAATTCTTATAGCTTGGCTCAGCAGGTGGGAAGCCAGCTGGAAGTCACCATATTTAAATTTTACCTAAGTAATTATGGGGGAATGCAGTGTGACCAGTCCCTGCTGTCCCCACTGTAGGAGTTCCAAAGCTGATACCTCTTTTAAGCTTTTGGAATGTAGATAAAGCATTCCATCATGTTAGCAGGGCACCATTTTACCTCCCCTGCTGCTGGGTTTATTGTTGTACTAATTCCAGGACTTCCTTCTGGCTCTTCTCTTACATTCTCTCATGGAGAAGCCTGTGTTACAGTCATTCAAAGTAATCCCTGCTGGGGTGCTGGGGTGGTGTCTTCAGTGTATGGAAGAGACTATCCATTCACAGAAATAATCCTGTTGTAAGTTTTCTTTCTTTCTTTCTGCAGTGCTGGGGATCAAACCCAGGGCCTCCCCTGTGCTAGGCCAGTGTTCTGCCACTGAACTACCTTCCTGGCCCCAAGATAGCTTTTTGAGTATATAAAGTTTAATAAAGTATATAACCAAGATTTGTCTTAAAATAACGCACCCCCATAAAACCTCACCCTCCCAAAACCACAAGAACAATAAGAGTTGAAAATATAGGCTTACTATAATTTTCAGTGGAAATGTAAGAAGCATAAAACTACTTTATGTATCTTTGAAATGTTTACATGTAATTTGTCCCTTTGATGTTACGGAGGGGGATTGGTATAGAGTTCTATAAAATGGTAGAGATAATGACCACTTTGTTCAAAGGGAAAAACCAAGATTCAAGTGGATGAAGCAATTTCTCCCAATGTAACTACACACCGATTCACCCTACCAAGAGGTCCAATTGTTTGACCTCTGATACTTTTGGATATTTTAAGAGTTGTATTTTTTGTTTTTACAAATTCTGTCAATGCTCACCTATTTCCAGTCCCACTCTGCTGCTATTGCCACTGCTCTGATATTCCAGACCTGAATACATTCTCAGAGAACATCTAGGTGCTAAAAACTTGTCATGTGACTCATGAGCCAGCTGAAATCCATAGCTACTTGTTTTTGCATAGCTGCATTTAATAGCTAAAGTTTGTTGTTTGTACCAATCATCTTGAAATATTTGTTCCAACAATGAGCTGGTATAATGGCTGGAGTGTCCACACTCCAGCCCCTTTTTTTGCCACGTCACAATTAATTACTAAGACAACAGTGCCTGGGGTAAAGTTGGAGCTTAGATGGACATGTTACCACTGGACCTAATCATTTGATGCAAGTTTTTGTCAATGGAATTGGGGAAAAGGTTGGACACTGAATTCCCCAAATATTGGCTTCATGAATCACCCTCAGAGCATTGCCCTGCCTCTAACATCAGAGGCTCTCTGACCTCTCAAAACCCATAGACCAGGTGGTTGATAGGCCAGGAAATCAATGAACCTTGCTATAAACACATTCTGCATCTTCTCTGGTCAACATAGGAGCTGTTTTGGGATAAGTGGAAAGGCTCTCTTGGCAGCGGGAGGTACATCCAGAAGAATTATCATTTGCCAAGCAATTAGAATAAACCTTGTTTCTAGTTGGTTTCTGTTTATTTCCAGAAGAAGTAGTTTTCCCTCTCTTTCAAGTGGTCCCAGGAAGAAAAGAATGACTAGTCAAAAGAGAGTCCTCTTGAATTTTACGGAATCTTCCCATTAGACCTTTACGTATCATCAGATCCAGTTTTCAGAATATGCCTCCCATCCTAGAGCACTTTTCATAAAAAATATAATAATAATAATTCACAGTTAGGAAGTTACAGCCTAAGGCTGAGGGTTTGCCCAGTGAGCTGACACTCGTTCTGACTTAGCTCTGACCTTTTCTTCCTTTGTGATTTGGGTGATGTGACCCCCAGCCAAAAATTGTGAGCTGTAGAGTCTAGAGTGCAAACTAAATCCCACTTCACCATCCATCTTCCAAGTCCTAGTTGTCTGTTTTAATTTAACTCCATTGTATGCATTTACTCATACAACAAATATTTGATCACTCAATAAGCGTCTACTACAATGGTGCTGATACTTACTGTGAAGGTAGAACAAAGCAAAAGTAAACAATGATTGCCTCCCCAGAGTCCGGTTGGAAAGAGAATTATGAACAAAATAATAAACAGCAATATGGAAGGGGCTAGATGTGAGACTCTCACCCAGTGTGGCAGCACCATAGGAAAAGTAATTCTTACACGGCTAGGAAAGCCTTCTGTGAGGAGGAGACAGGATCACAACTGATTTTTCAAAGAGGAATTTGTCAAAAAAAAAATTAAGGAGGAACATTTTCAGCAGGTGGAAGACAGGACCTGTACAGGGGCCCGTACAGAGGTCTCTGGAAAAGCTTAGGAAGGTGGCGGGGGTGGGTGGGGGGGAGACAGTGGTTCAGGATGGCCAACGTATAGGAGAAGGCCAGGAGAATAAATGCAGAAGAATCTGGAAAAGGTGACAGAGGTGGAAGAAAAGGCTCTTCAAGGGCTGGGGATGTGGCTCAAGTGGTAGCGTGCTCACCTGGCATGCGCGAAGCACTGGGTTCGATCCTCAGCACCACATAAAAATAAAAGATATTGTGTCCACCTAAAACTAAAAAATAAGTATTAAGAAAAAGGCTCTTCAATTAGTCCAGTTGTGGATGCTATGAATCAAATATAACCCCTTCTAAAACCCAAAGCACTACTGTTACCCTAATGCAGGTATTATACTGAGACCCAAAAGCAAGATGCCGAAGGAAAAATGTGGGCTTTGGTGTATGCCATACTGGAGTGTTTTTCTGAGCCCTCAAAAACTTAATGTATTATGCTTACGGTTGTAGCAAATTATTTACTCTCTCTAAACCTCAGTTTCATTATCTGTAAAACAGAGATAAAAATGAAACCTACTTTTTTTTTGGTTCCAGGGATTATACCCAGGGGTGCTTAACCACTGAGCCACATCACCTCTCGTTTTTATTTTTTTTATTCTGATACAGGGTCTCGCTAAGTTGCTGACACTGGCTTTGAATTCATAATCCTCCTGCCTCAGCCTCCCCTCAGCTGCTGGGATTATAGGCCTGCGCCACCATACCCGGCTAGAACCTACTTCTTATGTAAGAATAATAATGTTTCCCTGGTCAGCATTGGTAGAGAAACCCAGGGTCAGGTAGAGCAGTTGAGGTTAGGCGACCCTATCACTTAGTTTCTGAGAACAGCCCTGGTGGGATTTGCAGCTTTGACCCCATCTCTCAGCCAAATTTGCAATGTTGGGAGGACAAGCCTGGCAGGCTCACTCTGTCCTCAGATTTCTTACCCCGTGGGGATCAAGGAGGAGGAGCCCAAGCTTTGGATTATGAAGACATTCTTGCATCTCCCTGTGTAAAATGATAATGCCAAAGATCCTGGCAGCAGGCAAGGGACTACAGACCCCATCCAAGGCTCCTTGTCCCCACATGATGACTAGGTGTCTGCTGATATTAGACCCTGGGGATTGTCTTAAAAGTCCTTGAATCTTTCTTGTGATTGCCTTTGCTTAACAGCTGTGTTGTACAAGTGAGTATGGTGTGTATTTCTGCCTCCTGGGAGTGGTTGACTTGAAAAAAAGTCTTAATACACTGTGCTTTTTTTTTTTAAAGAACAATTTTAGGTTCACAGCAAAACTGAGTGGCAAGTACAGAGATAGCCCATATCCCTCCTCACCCACTTATAGCCTCTCCCATCATCAACCTCCTGCATCAGAGTGGTATATTTGTCATCGTCAACCCACACTGGCATATCCTATCACCCCAAGTCCATGCTTCACATTACTGTTCACACTTGGTTATATACATTTCTTGAGAGTTGTGACTTTTTACACCAGCAAATGTCCCCGGGGAAAGCACATCCACATGATTTGAGGCAAAGCTAGCAATACTAATCTATTTTCAAATGAACATGTTCTTTGGAGAAGTGTGTTTAAGATTGGGTAGACATATAAAAGAAAGAAGTTGAGTCGTGGAGGGAGGAAAGAAAGAGAAAAGAAAGGACCATCCACTCACCCAGGCAACTCCCACCCCCAGTCTCTGAAGTCTTTGAAGGTAAAAGTTAGTGATAGTTTATGCATAAAATGTCCAGATTCTTCTTCTGTTCCCTAAATCTGCTTCTACCACCGTGTATCTGTCTCTGGGCCTTTCTCTTCCTGGAGAGATGGGATGTTACCTTTGAATCTTTTCCTTGTAGCTTTTCTCCTGCATTCCTTCCAGGGATCCCCCAACCCAAACTGCAATAGAGGGGAAATAGAGGACTGGGGCTATTCTGGAGAAACTGTTTTTTGTTTTTTTTTTTTCTCTAGCAACTAAGATACATTATTTTAATTGCTGTTGTAAAGTTCTTGTAAGGAATTCTAAGTTACCCTCCTACTTTGACAGATGAAGCCTTCTGGGAAGTTGGCAGTCCTGGGAGCCCAGGGCAATGCTGAAATGCCCTTCCAAACAAGGACCCAAACAGCTGAAGGGCTCCAGTTACCCAAGAGGTGAGTGACATGGACACTTCTTTGGCCAGTTGGAGAAGGGGAAGGAGTGGGGTGAGGGAGGTGGAGAAGGGAAGGACAGAGGAGAAAGGACAGGATGGAGACGTGACAGGAGGGTTGAGGAGTGATGAGCCAGCAGCCTGATGACAGGGAGTGGAACTGTCTCTGACCATACCCTGCTGTACTCTGGGGAGCCTGGGTGGCTCCCTACTTTGAACCTCAGAACGATATACCCACCAAAATTTGTCCACCTCTGATGAAAAGTGACTGTTGTCAATGAAGATAGCCACTTGTGTACTAAAGTGGAGTTTGTCCTACATGTTTTGATTTGGGACTTAAATATTATTAAGTTTATGAATCAAAAAAAATTCATGCCCATTTTAATTTTATCTTGTTTTTGCTCATCTGAAATTTGTGTATTTTTCTAAAATGACTATGGATTGACTTGGCAATAACAAAAATAAATAATTTTGATCACAAAAAAATTGAATCAGCTTAAAAAATTGCGAAAACAATTTTTAAAATATTTATAGAGTATATTATAGAAGACCGAATACCTGATTGTTAACCTTGGATAATTTAAAAGGTTGGGGATGGAATTAGAAAGACAGACAGACAGACGGAAGATTATCAACTTCTTTAACTATCTCTTTATTGCTTGACTTGTTAAAATGATTGTTTATTATTTTTGTCATTCTTAAAGTAAATTTAAGAAAGAATTAAAAAGTAAATCATCATCTTCTACCATTTGTTTTTTAAAAGCAAAGCTACTTATTAAGTGAAACGCTTTTTTAAATTTATTTTTTAAATACACGACAACAGTGGAGTGCATTACCATCCTTATTACACATACAGCACAATTTTTCATATCTCTGTATAAAGTATGTTCACACCAAATTATGCCATTATACATGTACTCTTTTTTTTGCATTACAACTCTTTTTTTATATTTATTTTTTTAGTTGTATTTGGACACAATACCTTTATTTCATTTATTTATTTTTATGTGGTGCTGAGGATCGAACCCAGGGTCTCACACATACGAGGCAAGCGCTCTACCGCTGAGCCACAACCCCGGCCCCATTACAACTCTTAATGCACATATATACCACAATTTTTCATATCTATGTTTGTATATAAGGCATGTTGACACCAAATTCAAATAAGTGAAACACTTTTAACTCACTATTTTTTAACTGTATACATTTTTTAAGTTGAGGTTTATTTCTTCAGCAGATCTTCTCTGCCAATTTTATGTGTGTCACCTTATATGACAGAAGGTGATTTGGGGGTTTGTTCCCCAGAATGAAAAACATAGGCCTTTCTGTCACAAATGACTATTTCTACCCAATAAATTTATAAACACACATCTTATGTAGAACTTTAATAGCTTAAATAATTTGTTTGTCAACTATGAATTCTTAAGCTGACAGAAAAGTTTTGGAAAACAATTTTTTTAAAAAATTTTGAGTTCCTTCAGCTGTTTAAAAATTATTGCAAATAATTGCCTTTATCCTAGTGGTAACAGTTATCCTGAAGTTGGTGAGTATCTTCCTGGTCCAGTATTTTATAGTTTTCCAATTAACTCTTATCTTTTTTGAGATACACATAGCTCTAATTCCTTTGTTTTCATTGCTGCATAGCATTCCATTATTTAAGACAATTCTAATTTTTCTCTATTGTGAAAGTTGTTGCTGCATTGGACATCCAAATTCATGTCTTTTTGTGCACTTGAATAAGAATTCATCCAAAGGATTTTCCTAGGAGTGGGATTACTGAGTCCACTGGAAAACCTCTTAAAAATAGAATGAAAGAGAAAGAGAGAAATGGACAAAGTCTTAGGTTTTGTCCCAGAATTCCAGGTCATCTCTCTTTACTGAATGATGGGTTCTCCAATTCCTTTTAATACTTTTTTTTTCAATCCCAAATTTGAAAAATTGGAAACCTCTTCATCAAAACCCTGATTATTAAGATTTGTTGGTCAAAAATCTAAAAACTGACTCATCCTGAAGCCGAACTGAAGGGGATACTGGTGAATAAGTCATTTTTCCCCCTCTCCTTTCAGAATATCACACATCAACTTAGAACATATTAAACAAGATGGCAAGATTAATGAGCTTATTCAAAAAAGAAAATAAGTCTTGGTAAGTAGAATGATAAATTAAAAATCCTGAATCTTTATGAACCCAAAAGGCTCAAAGATGGCATCTAATCTAAGCTGCATCTCTGGGATATTACTTTATGAGCATGCTGTCATCATATTTTTTCTTCCTTCTAAATCAATTTCAGCATGTCTGCATCAGCAGACTTCAGATGATGTATTGGCAGCTTCATTTTAATCGTTTGTTGCTACAGGGTGACCTGTGGCCTTTCCAAAAGAGGTAAAATGAATCTTCCCATTGTTAACTCCTCCTACCTCATCATCAACCCATATTCATTTGAATGCCACCAAGGACTGACAGACTCCAGGAGGGTCAGTTGCTGCCCAGTACCTGTGGTCACCTATAGTTTCTTCAGCCCCTTCTGTGGGGAACTCCTGGTAAAAGTCTACAACCTGCCTAGACCTTCCAAGGCTTCCCAGTGCTCCCAATACTGCAGTCCCCCACCCCCATGTCCCAAAATGTTATTTATGTATGCGTAAGCTGTGACATGCAACCAAATTTAGATGGCCTCCTGCTCAGTCCATTGCATTTTAATAGTTATTAATTTTACAGTGTGTTTTGCAGCTTTTACTGCCAGTGATATTGCTTAAATACTATTAAGTTAAAAAAATCATTCTTTTAAAAAATTAGTATGTAGAGGTGCATATGGCTATGGTAAATACGACAATCAAAGACAATAACTGGATTTAGGAGAAATTGCCTAAAACAAATTGTGGTCTCTCTTAGAGTGCTATAAATCCCTGAATTTATGTGAGTGTTACACATAGGAAATGTTACTTGAAACACATTCTTTCTGCTCTCAGTTCACCTACCTAGAAAGTCCAATGGTTAAACCAGATCAAGGATTTTCAGCCCTGTTTTCATTTTTGAATCACCAAGACAGGCGTAAAAAATAGTGATACCTGGGATCTTCTCTCAATTAATTCACTAAACTAATTCTGAAGTTATAAGATAATTGATCTTCTGATTTCATGAATAGACTATAAATACAGAGTAAATACAGATCCTGTAATGATGGAGGAGGCTCCTTGTTCTTTTTAGAAGCAACTGTAACAACTGTGATTTTCACCCACTTTCCAGTCCTGAGTCAACACAGGCCTGGAAGCTCCCTCCACTCTGTTTGGGTTGTACCAGTTCCTACCACAGTGCTTGATATACAGTAGATGCTCAATGAATACTGGATGAAAGGATGACAGAGTGAAGTTCCACAACCTGGTTTTAAGCAGAGCATCTAAGATTAATCAAGTTGTCAGAAATTGGGCCATAGTAGAACTCTTCAGGGTCCAAGAAGTAGAGCCAATCTATTCCAGAGTATTCTCTCCCTGGTAAATAAGACCTGAATATCATTTGGTGCATTACTCAGCTTTCTGTTACTGTAACGAATACCCAAGATAATCAACTTATTTAGGCTCACAGTTTTGGAGCTTTTAGTCTGTGGTAGGGAAGATCCATTGCTTTAGGCCTCTGGCAGTGGGGAGGGGGCAGCATGTCATGGCGGGAGTGTATGGCAAAGCAAAACTGCTCACCTCATGGCCAAGATGGGAAAGAGAGTAGAAGAAGAAGGTATAGGAGTCCCACTGTCCCCTTCAAGATCACACCCCCAGTATGGAAGACCTCCCCCTAGGCCTCACCACATAAAGCTTCCACTACCTCCTAACAGCAGCACAGGCTGGAGAAGAGCCTTGGGCGGTCATTTCACATCCAAACCTAGCACTCTTTGAGCATAGGACAAATGTTGGATGTTCTTATGTTCTATTTCCATCCAACTCTGAAGGCTTGACTTCCTTTAAGACCATTTTTATGTAAAGGGTCAGGGTCATTCATCCAGAATGCCTGTTAGGCCTCCTGGCAACACACTGATAGATTTTCATTTTCCAACATTCCCTTTCCAAATATTCATGCGACCACCACCCTGTCGTTTACTCTCCTGGTTACCACAACAAACGGTTTCCTAAGTGTTAGATTGTTTTGCTGCTTGCTAATGACATACCAGGGAGAAGCACATTAATCTCCTCAGTAAGGTCACTCCAAATCACTCTGCAAGATGGGTTACTTCTGGAAAGCTGTCCCCTAAACAGCTAATCCCATCTTTCTTACAGGCTTGACTTACGGAGATGGCATCTGCTGACCTTATGTTTTTGAGAGCCATCTTATTTTGAGGACTGCTGTGTTCTGCTCACCATCTACAATTACTATGACTAAAAATACTTTGGAGGGTAGAGAGTCTTCAAGGGGACTTTGAGACCTGGACTGTGTTCCTCCTATTTTGATGTCATATTTCAAAGTAATGGCCCTGTTCCTGTGTTAAACTGCTGATTACCTGCCAGACCGACATTGTACTTCACATTTGATTGGAAATCAGTCTTTATGCTGAACCTTGTGATTATGTTGCCCTTTTCCCCAAAATGTGGCCAATAGTGATTTTCCTGATAACACCATCACCTCTTAGCCACATTCTCTGTGCATCATGCCAAGGCTACATTGTCCCCATGGAAATGTAAGCCTCTACCCCTGTGTGATAGGCATAATCCCATTAAATGACATCTCTGTCTCCCATCCCCAATAGTATAAATTAGAGTGTCCACACAAACCTAGATCACGGAGATCATTATGCTAAATGAAATAAGACAGGCGCAGAAAGACGATTACTGCCTGATTGCACTTACATGTGGAATCTAAAAATGTTGATCTCACAGGAGCTGAGAATACAATGGTGGTTACTAGAGGCTGAGGAGAGCAGTGGGAAGGCAAGAAGGGGAAAAAGTTGATCCACGGGTACTAAGTCACAGACAAGAGCAAGACATTCTGGTGTGCTATTTCATAGTAGAATGATCCTAGATAACGATTCTGTACTCAAAAAGCTACAAGAAAGGATTGTGAATGATCTTACCATGCAAAATGATAGATGACTGAGAAGATAAACATGTTTAACCTGATTTAAGCATCACTAATGTACACATATATTGAAACATCATGTGGTGCCCCACTAATATGTATGATTTTTGTTTTTATGTATCACTTAAATAAAAATAAATAAAACCCTAGGATCAGAGAAACAGAAATGTATTTGTGTTACCTAGGAGATGGTGGTTGTCTAGAGCAGAAGGAAGTATGAGACATGCAGTGGCATGTCCCAATGGGACAGTGTGTGTTTCTGTGTCTTTTTAGGCCATGGACACCATGAGTTGCATGAGTGTCACTCAGAGTCACCCACGTGTTGATAGGTGGCCAGCCCCCTATTTCAGGTATGAATTTGTCAAGGCAACATTTTCTAGAATGCTTAAATTCAAGGAAGTGTTTCTATCATTTAAAAATCCAGAGTAACTTTCAGGATATGCTTTTATATTAATATTCCTTAAAATTAATTTATAGTTTTCCTCCTACAATTTTAGTCTAATTGGACTATAGGGAAGGGTGTGTGTGTGTGTGTGTGTGTGTGTGTGTGTGTGTACACGTGAATAGAACATTATTTATGGAAGAAGATACAATAAACTAAAGAAGAGTGGCTACGTAGGAAGTGAGGCTGATGAAAGAGACTTTATTTTCAGTTCCAAGCCTTTTGTGCTTTCAGACTTGCTTCTTCATCCATGAAATAAGAGATCATATCAGAATGGTCACATGATCCCCTGAGTCCCTTCTCTGAGAATCTATGATTCTACTGAATTGGGGGTATGCTTTGTACTTTCTTTCTCTAATCTCTTTACTTTACTGAATTTAACTCTGTTGATTATATAGAAACACCTCATTTTTCCAGCCTGGCCTGAGAATGAAATTTTCTAAACTGTGAATTCTCTAGGTAAATGAATCTAATCTCTGTTGAGGTTTGGAGTAATTTCTAATGGAATATTTTTAAATTGTATTACATGCCTTCCTGTCATCTTGTCTAGAGCTTTATTGAGCTATATTTTACATGCCATAATGTTCACCTATTAAAAATTCAGTAGTCTTTAGTATATTCACAGAAACATGCAACCATCATTGCTATCTAATTCTGGAACATTTTGATACCTCTATAACAAACTCCATGCTCATGAAGCAGTCACTCCCCGTTATCCGCTTCCCCCACCTTCTGGCACCCACTCAATTTTTCTTTATCTGTGGATTTGCCTACTGTAGATATTTTTCATAAGTGGAGTCATATAACATGTTTTTTTTTTGTTGTTGTTGCTGTTGCTCTTATTGTTTCTTCTATTCTCTTAAACAGAGTACAATCTGTGTACTTACCTTTTCTTGATGATTTAGGCACATTATTGATAGTATACCATGCTCACGATGATCTCAAGAAGTATTTATAGAGGATAGGAAAGGCAGCAGAACACAACAGACACTAGTATGGCAATATGTAAATCAATGGATGTGTAGCTGATGTGATTCTGCAATCTGTATATGGGGTAAAAATGGGAGCTCATAACCCACTTGAATCAAAGTGTGAAATATGATATATCAAGAACTATGTAATGTTTTGAACAGCCAACAATAAAAAATTTTTTTAAAAAAAGAAGTATTTAGACACAGTGCCATTTGCCTCTAGGTTCTATGGTTCATTTGCTGTATGTGACTTTGTCAGGGCTTTTTTGCTGGGGCCATCAGGTGACTTCTTGAATACCTTCTCTTGTGAAGCTTAACTCTTATTTTAGTCAATGTGTCCTTTCTGGTCTCCCTACTTTGCATACTGGGCCCATTAGTACATAAATTAGACGAGGCCTGTGGTCTCGTGCCTTTTCTGGACCCAGGCTCATAATGTAATTCCATTGTGAACTTCTTTAGTTTTTCTCTTTTTTTATTTCCTCATTATTATTATTTATTTCATTATAGCTGAACATATCGATGGGGTTTGTTGTTACATACTCATACATGCACACAGTATAACAATATAATTTGGATAATGTCACTCCCCAGCATTTACCCCCCTCCCTCCATACCTCCCACCTCTTGGTTGTCCCTTTCCTCTACTGATCTCCCTTTGATTTT